TTTGTGGAGTCAACGATCCCACTGTTTATAGCAACAAGTGCGGGGAGGCCGTGTGGATGACTGATTTGAACCACTTCGTGGGATAACTCGAAATACAACTCTTCATCGTCCTCCATATTCATCCAGCCCCTCTTCCTCCTCCTCCTCCTTCTCCTCCTCTTCCATCTTCTCCTTCTCCTCATCACTCTTTACCTTCATCGATGGATGGATGGGTGGAGCAGAGAGAAGGATGGGATGAAGGAGGGAGGGGAGAAATAATGAAAGAGCTACTCCACATCCCAGGGAAGGCGCGGTGGTGGGATGGGCCGAAGGCCTCTTGATAGAAATACCTTTCTTGAGCGCTGACGCCATACAACACGATACTGCAATCACAATCACCAGTGCTGAAAAAACCGCACGCGCCGTCCTCGATTCGCATGGCTGCAGCCTGCGTGGTGGCAGCGCTTCGATCTCCAACGCTTGCACCGGAGGCGGCATGGCCTGAGCTGGAGCGGCTCGAGCCGGGTGCGGGATGCTACGGAAGCCATCTGCCCACCGTTTGGTACGCAGCGCGCCGCGAGGCGGAGGCGCGAGCCGAATGAGGGCGGGGCGGGTGGCCCTGTCCCCAGATCCGCTGCGCCGGATATGCATCCCACACGATGCAGAAAAGCAGGGCGGACCTCTCCCGCCTCAGAGGAGAGTGGGTCAGCCATGCCTGCCGCAGTGTTGCGGAGATAGCAGCGGTAAAGTGGGGCGGACACGTCGACATTCAACGGAGCCTGGCAGGTAGGTCGGACACCCGCCCCAATGGCGAAATCGCAACAGATAGGCTTGCCATCGCTCAGACCTCCATCCCACGTGCATGCTTCGATCTCTTGCGCGTGTGTTTTTTGTCGCTCGATGATCCAAGATGCTCCTCGATGGTCCTCGCCGAGTAAAAACACACACGTCCGAGCGATGCCAAGTAGGGCGGAGCCAGAGGCAGGCGGCAAGGGGGGCAGAGCGCCGAGAGGGGGAAGCCCCGACGCCGCGCGCCTGGGCGCCGCGCGCGGTCGTCCGCCCCCCTCCTTGCCATCGCTCGGACGTCCATTCCCCGTGCATGTTTCGGTGTGGTGCGCTAGTTGCTTCGAAAGAGGATCCAGGATGCCCCTCTTAAGTCGGGCATGTCCTCCTACAGGCGGAGCTCGGAAGAACAACAATAACAAAAAACGCAACGACAAATCGTTTACATACTAGTCTTTGACTATCCTGGATTATTCCTCCCGTGCAGGGACAAGCCCGACTCAATGCTGCTCGATGGTCCTCGCCGAAGAAAGAACACACGTCCCAGCGATGCCCAGGCATCCGTTCTCTCGGGAGGGAGGAAGAGCATCAACGGCACGCTGCCGTTGGTAGCCCGTCCGCGTGCTGCTCCATCGTTGCCGTCCGAAGGCCTGGCGCTTCTGGGGCAGCAAACAGCGACTTGCATATGAAAACTCGGAGGTCCGCGCGGAGTTCTCGGATCGGCGCTGGCCCCCCTCTCCCTGGCGCGCGGAGCGCGCCGGGGGCACCAGCGCGGATCCAAGAAACCTGTGCGGAGTTTCGAAAGTTGATGTTTGTGCAGTTTCCTCCTCTTCGACTCTTCAGCAGTGGCACGACGGGGGAGTCTTCGGTGGCCACTCATAGGAGCCTCCCATACCATCTAGTTGGTTCTTGTTGATCGACGCGAATCTACGCTAAGTCGACGCTAAATCGACACGAATCGACGCTCATCGACGCAAGTTTGACACTAAATCATCGATGACCAGACGCTGATCGACGCCAGTGCTGTCGTAAAGGCGGAGTTACGAGGCTACACAAAACTCCCATTCCCAGATAGCTCCTTGGAGAGCTAAGAAGGTTGTCAGAAAAGAAGCCAGCAAGCGGGGCTACGCCAGCCCCTCTCCAAGGCTCCCGGTCAGGCATCACCGCAGCTCCTTGCTTGAACTGGCAGCGTGTTCCGGCAAGCGTTTTCCTTCTCGTTCCCAATACGCGAGCGGGAAGCTTTTCCGCAGCTCCTTCGAAGCTCCTCGGGAGCTCCTGTGAAACTGCCTTTCTCGAGCCTGCAAGCTTCCCAGGCCTTCTTCCCAGCGTCCTCGTAAGCATCTCCTGCAGGCCTCTCACGCGCGTTGGACTGCGCTACCTGCAAGATCCTGCAGGACCCTGCGCCCAAGCCCGGGCCAACGCGAAGGATCCTGCGAGGATCCTGCAGGACCCTGCACCCAAGCCCGCCCCTTGAGCCCCGCTGCTCCCCGCGGCGCCTCTTTCCGGCCACGCGCCGCGCCGCCGACGGCCGGCCGCGGGGCCCGTGCAGCAGCGCGGCGGGAGGCGGGGGAAATCATAGAGGACAAAACACCCAAAGATCCAACGCATCGAGGAATCAAAGACGTAGATCTTTGGCAATTTTCTGCCTCTAATGGCCCTCGCCGGGCCCTGGGACCGCTAAAAAACGGTTCAGGATGGAAAGCCGGTCCTGGGGAATTGGTCGAGACTTCCGGGGGCCCCGCCTTGAAAAAATCACGACGCCGAACCTCTGGGAATCCACCCCCATCAGAACCACCCCGACAAGCGAGGCCGTCTAGTCAACGCACCCAAGGAAGGAATCGAGCAGGGCCGGGCCGTTTGTGCGCACCCTGAGATCTTTCAGTTCAGCGATCTGGCCCTTGAGCGTCTCCACGGCGACGGGGGAGGCGAGGATTACTGAACTGGTGGATTTCGGTACGCCAGGACACCGGAATCCATCAGTGCAGTAATCCTCACCTCCCCAGTCGCCGTGGAGACGCTCAAGGGCCAGATCGCTGAACTGAAAGATCTCAGGGTGCGCAGTTTGGTAAACGCCCGGGGCCGTCTTGTGAGCGCCAGGTCTCGGGTGCGCGTGGTTTGTCTTCCCTTGGGGGTAGGCACGAGAGAGATAGAGAGGGGTCGGCGGCGTGCCCCGCGACGCGGTGCCGCGCGGCTGTCCTCGCGCGGCGGCGAGCGAGGACGATCGCGAAGCCCCGAAGCCTAGGTCGGGCGTGTCCTCCTACAGGCGGATTTTGGGCGACCCAAAAAATAGTGCAAACATTTTTGAAACATAAAAAATGGCACTGGAGAACAAAAACCCAATCAACATCTTTTTAGGGCTATAGGGCTATGTGGCTATAGGGCAATAGGACCACAGGGTTATAGGTCTATAGGGCTATAGGGCTGTAGCGCTACAGGGCTATAGACATATAGGGCTATAGGGCTACAGGGCTATGGGACTATAGGGCTCTAGGACTATAGGGCTACAGGGCTATAGGGCTCTAGGGCTATAGGGCTATAGGGCTGTAGGGCTACAGGGCTACAGGGCTATAGGGCTACAGGGCTACAGGGCTATAGGGCTACAGGGCTATAGGGCTTTAGGGCTTTAGGGCTATAGAGCTATAGGGTTATAGGGCTACAGGGCTAGAGGGCTATAGGGCTATAGGGCTGTAGTGCTATAAGGCTATAGAGCTATAGGGCTACCAAACACCCGGGCACCCGGGCAGCTGGGCAGCTGGGCACCCGGGCACCCGTGCACCTGGGCACCCGGGCACCCGGGCGGACCGCGGAAATCGGCGGCAAAGATCACCTAACCACATGAATCCGCCAAGACCCCTACATTGGCAAGCTCTGATTGGGGAAAGATGATGGAAAATCATCCCCAGACTACTTGTTGACTATTTTTGAAAATTCCTCCTGTAGAGGGACAGGCCCGACTTAACCCGAAGCCTTGCCAGCGCCCGCGGTGCACAGCGACGTCCCCACCCCCGAGGGCAACCTGCGGGCGCCCGCGCGACCTGGGCGCTGCTGACTTTAGCGGCGAGCGATGGAGGGGGGGAGGTGGGAAGGAGAAGGCCTTCCCAGCAGGCGGCGGGGCTTCGCAGAAGGCATCTCCAGCCTTCTGGGAGAGGTTCCTGTTGGTGCCCTCGGGGAAGGCTCAGGTCGGGCATGTCCTCCGACCGGTGGATTTTGGACGACAAATGAAAAAGAGTCCAAAAATCCGCAAAAATAGTCAAACCTGTTAACAAAAATATCGGCCCCAGAAGGCTCGGAAGACTTCTCTCTGAAGGCGAGGGCTGGGGGACCTCCGAGCCTTCCGAGAAGGCCCCCGCCACTTCTCACGCATCGCCCCCCCCCACCGGGGCTCGCCGCCGAAGCAGGAGAGGGGGGCAAAGGCGAGGTGCACTCGTGCCGCAGCTGACGTCCTACCCTCCCCCCCCACCCGTTCTCGATCCACCGACGCGACGCGAGTACCATAGCGGACCTGGAGCTCTGAATGGGGACCCCAATCGTGTTGTATCGTGTTCTGCGTACTCGGGGGGGCGGGGGGGGGAAACGGGGAACTGCGTGCAGAGAGGGGAGAGAGGGAGGGACGGTTGATGGACAAAATCCTGCGCTTTTTGTCCCGATGTTTGTTTTCGCCCCTCGCGCCCCCAATTGAATATTGGCAGGCTGTTGCGCGATTTGTTGATCTGCCGACTGGCCTAAATCTTGCACCCCGCGGGCGCAGCCAATCAACATTGAATCGGGGGCAGGGGGGCGCGTGGAAGTTTGCGCCGTCGCCCCAGTTGCGCGGGTGGTGCAAATTTGTCCATCAACTGGAGTAACCGCGGCCAGCGGCTGACCAGCCGCCGTCAGCAGCCGCCATCGCGAAAATTAAAAAGGTGTCGGCCGCGCTCGCCACCAGGACGCAGGCTGAGTTTTATACATCTTTGCATCCGCTGCCCATGGCTGGTTGCCAAACTCCTGACGCACACATCGTGCCGAAGAAAAAACACCGGAAGTGGTGGGGGAACGCAGATCGTCTGATCTGAGGACGCCCTGCGCCGCAATCCACATGCCATCACATGCATATGTGTCTCCAGCACGCGTGCTGCTCTGCTCTGCCTCTCTCTCTCTCTCTCTCTCTCTCTCTCTCTCTTTTTATATATATATATATAGATGAAGACGTAGGCCCGACAAGCGAGAGGCCTCAACAAAGCTGCCACACTGCCGGAACATCACGCAGCGGCTGCCCATTGCTCGTTGATGTACGCCCTCGCTGAGCGCGCCAACTCATCAGAATCCTCCCAAGCGTTGCGCCAAACGCAGAGGGCGTCAACAACGTAAGGAGCCAATATCTTGTTTGAGAACGACTCGAAAGTTAGCGGGCCGCTGTACCCGCTGGCGCGGAGCGCCGCGAAGAACTCGGGCCACGGAACGGTGCCTGTGCCGAGGTACCCCCGATGACTCTCTCCGAGGTGCACGTAGCCGAGTCTATGCCCGACCGTGCGCACGGCCTCTGCGAAACCACGCTCCTCGATGTTCATGTGGTACGTGTCCAGGTGTATCCTGACATTCTCTTCGCCCACGTCGTCGCAAAACGCTACCGCTTGCTCGGCAGTGTTCAGCAAGTTCGTCTCGTACCGGTTCACCACCTCCAGATTCACCTGCACGCCCAGTTCGGCCCCGCGCCGGCCAAGTCGCCGCATGGCCTCCACGGAATTGGAGCGTCCCGCCTCGGTAGGGGGAGCCCTGTACTTCCCGAAGCCGGAGTAGAGGATGCCGCAGAGGTTCCTTACGCAGAAGGCGTCTATACGCCACCACCGTGGCTGGCCAGGGCCAGCCTGGGCCCTGGCATGGTGTATGTGCCCTCCTGGCCGATGCCAGGAGGGCGTACACACCACAGTGGGGCCCAGGATGGCCCTGGCCAAGCACGGCGGTGGTGCATAGATGCCGTCTGCGGATTCCTGGCGCCGAACGCGGCCGCCAGCTCGATCGACCGCGACAGCCTCTCCTCGCCCCGCGCCACCACCTCCGGGTCCTCGCTGGACACGTCGGCGTCGAAGGGCAGCCCCAGCGACGCGGAAGCGGCGACGCCGCTCTCCTCCAGCACGCGCTTCATCATGGCCGCGTCGACGCCGTCGATCTCCAGCAGCGGGAACTCCACCATCCCGAAGCCGGCCTGCGGTGGCAGGTCACGGGGGCCTCCCACACCATCCTGCCGGCTCTTGCGAACCGATGCTGATCGACGCTCCATCGACGCTGATCGACGCTGAAGCACCGCTAGCCGACGCTGGACCGACGCTATCCCATCGACTCCCAGACGCTGCTCGACGCTAAAGACGGAATGAAGAGGAGGAGGAGGAGGAGGAGGAGGAGGAGGAGGAGGAGGAGGGGTAGGAGGAGGAGGGGGAGGAGGAGGAGAAGGAGGAGAAAGAGGAGGAGGCGGAGGAGGAGGAGAAGGAGGAGGGGGAGGAGGAGAAGGAGGAGGAGGAGGAGGAGGTGGAGGTGGAGGAGGAGGAGGAGGGGCACGCCAGGTCCCCATGATCCGCTGCCCAACCAGCCTGCGCCGCACCGCCCACGGCACGTCGCACGTCGGCCTCGGAGAGCCCGGCCGCGAACACCAGCGTGTGCGCCCCCACGATGCGCTCGGCTGCGCGCAGAGGAGCAGCCCCCCCCCCAGGCAAGAGTGGCATCCTCGGGCGCGCGGCCTCTCGTGTCGGCCGCGGGGGGGAGGCCCAGCGCAGGCTATCCGAGCGCGCGACGGCCGGGTGCCGGCGGTACCCCAGTGGAGGGGGGGGGCCCGGAGGGGGGCACACGCAGATGAATACACACAAATCCCAGGACTCCCCAGACGTTCCGCATTTTCTGGGGTTCCTTCTTCCCCCCCCCCGCTTCCCATCTGGTCACATCTGTTCCTGGGAATCGACGATCCTTTGTGTCTGCGTGTGTGTGTGTGTGTGTGGGTGGGTGGTGGGGGGTGCGTGCGTGCGTGCGTGCGTGCGTGCGTGCGTGCGTGCGTGCGTGCGTGCGTGGCGTGGCGTGGCGTGTGTGTGTGTGCATGTGTGCGTGTGTGTGTGTGTGTGTGCTTGTGTGTGTGCTTGTGTGTGCGCGTGCGTGCGTGCGTGTGTGTGTGTGTGTGCTTGTGCCTGTGTGTGTGCTTGTGTGTGTGTGTGCGTGTGTGTGTGTGTGTGTGTGTCTCGCGCCGGGCCTTCCCCCTCCTCCACACTTGCATTGCGGCTTAACTAACAATTGTATGCCCTGCATTTGCCCCATCCGCCAGCGCAGTCACTCTGCCTAGCCGCCGACGCAAAAAGTGTGTGTGTGTGTGTGCGTGTATGCATGCATGTCCGTGCGTGCGTGCGTGCTAGCGTGCGTGCGTGCGTGCGTGTGTGCGTGTGTCTCTGTGTGCGTGCGTGTATGTCTGTGTGCGTGCGTGTGTCTGTGTGCGTGTGCGTGTGCGTGTGCGTGTGTGAGAGAGAGGGTGCCTCTGTGTGTGTGTGTGTGCGTGCGTGCGTGTGTGTGTGTGTGTGCTTGTTTGTGCGGGTGTGTGCTTATTTGTGTGCGTGCGTGCGTGCGTGTGAGTGTGTGTGTGTGTGTGGTGTGTGTGTGTGCTTGTGTGTGTGTGCCGGTGTGTGCTTGTGTGTGTGCGGGTGTTTGTGTGCGCGACTTTGTGCGCGTGTGTGCGCGCGTGTGCGTGTGTGCGGGTGTGTGCTTATGGGTGTGTGCTAGTGTGTGTGTGTGTGTGTGCTAGTGTGTGTGTGTGTGTGTTTGCGCGGGTGTGTGCTTATGTGTGTGCGGGTGTTTGTGCGCGCGCGTGTGTGTGTGTGTGTGTCTGCTTGTGTGTGTGCTTCTTCCCTCCTGGCCAAGGTCACTCTGGCGAGAGGGGACCCTCTTGTACGCGCCGCCGCGAGGTTCGGCGGGCCGCCCTCCCCGCCCTGCACGGACGCCGCCCTGCCGGGCCCCTGCGCCCCGCGCCGCAGCGAGCGCCGCACGGCGCCCTGCCGCGCCACCCAGGCCGCCGCGCAGCAGGCGGCGCCCCAGGCGCCGCCGCGGGCGCCCGAGCCGCGCGGGGGAGCCGCGGGCGCCCACGGCCGCGCGGGCCCCGCGCCACGCGCGGCGCGCGCGGGCGGCGCCCCGCCCGCGGGGCGCAGGGTAGGCAGGGGGATGTCGCCATGTGGTGCGAAGTCTCCTCCTCCACCATCCTCCTCCTCCTCCTCCTCCTCCTCCTCCTCCTCCTCCTCCCCTCTTCTCCTCCTCCTCCTCCTCCCTCCTACTCCTCCTCTTCCTCCTCCTCCGCTTCGCATCACGTGACGGATCCAAGTCGTCGACAAGGGCCGCATATGCCGCGGCGGGCGGCGGCGGATGCGGCGCTGGGCGACGCCGGGCGCGGGTTATCGGCCCTCGTCGGGCTGTGTGCGCAGCGGAGCCCAGAGGCAGGCTGCGGCCCCCCTGCCGCTCGAGGGAGCTCTCCCTGCGCGGGCGCACACGCCGTCCTGGTATCCCCAGAGCGCGAGGGCAGGAGGGGGCCACCACTCACGCCTCCTCACACCGCCTCTGGGGGCTAGGCTGGGATCGAGGAGGAGGGAGGAGGAGGAGGAGGAGGAGGAGGAGGAGGAGGAGGAGAGGAGGAGGAGGAGGAGGAGGAGGAGGAGGGGGAGAGAGGAGGAGGAGGAGGAGGAGGAGGAGGGAGGAGGGAGGAGGAGGAGGAGGAGGGGGGGAGGAGGAGGGAGGAGGAAGGAGGAGGAGGAGGAGGATGAGGAGGAGGAGGAGGAGGAGGAGGAGCGGTAGGAGGAGGAGGGCAGGTCCCCCCCCGCTCGGCGGTTCCGCGTGGGAGGCCCTCGCGTGGATTCATCCCCCCCAGGTGAAGCAATCGCTCGTGCATTCCTGGCACTGTTTTCAGACTCAACTGCGATCCCAGGACGAATCCCCAGTCGGCGGTTCCGCGAGGGAGGTTCTCTCCAAACCCAGTGAGGCCCCAATCGCGCCTCCTGACAGAATTTCGAAGAACTCGGCTGTAATGCGGGGGGCGAATCCCGAACTGGCGGTTTCGCGTGATGGGTCCTCGAGAAATCGACTCTCGGAACCCCAGTGAAGCCCCAATCGCGCCTCCTGGAACAATTCAGTCCCACAGTCGCGCCTACGCCGTCTCTGGGGACTGGGCTTTGATCTGGAGACGAGCTGTCGGTTTCATCAGCACATGGGCAGGAAGGGGGGAAGTGACAGAGGGAGAGAGAGGGAGTGGCAGCGTGAAGATGGAGATAGGGATGGGGAGTGGGGATGGGGGATGGAGGAAGGAAAAGAGGAGGTGGAGAGATGTGGAGAGAACGCGTCTGACGTCAAGACTGGGAAGGAGCAGGAAGGAGGAGGATGAGACGGAGGAGGAGGAGGAGGAGGAGGAGGAGGAGGAGGAGGAGGAGGAGGAGGAGGAGGAGGAGGATCAGCAGCGACACCTTTCATGGAACGGAACGTTACGCTCAAACGTATGACCATCCGAGCAACTACACAAACGGAGGGCAAAACGTTTTCACATTCTGGCTCTCGCCAGAGACTTCATCATAATGATACTGGCGCTTGGACGACCCACTTGCTTCATGAGGGCGGCTCATGTTCAAAGCCTGGCTATCGCCTGAAACATCCATGCATTTAACTTATTGTGTTGAGGCTTGACGTGTCGCATGATGACATGATGGATGGCGATTCCTTGAACACCAAGTTCGCGCCTGATCACGAACTGCATTGAAGCTGGACGACTGGCGCGATTGCATGGACGGATGGCGATTCCTTTTACACCAAGCTCGAGCCTGACAATTCATTGCGTTGAAAGGACCCAGAGTGAGCACCTCCAACAAGTGAACGGATAGAGGATTCGCCCACTTTCAAAGTCGTGATCTCGTTCGAGACTTCCATCCTACACCGAAGTTTCACCTCGACCAGCTATGAGGATGGACAATACAAAAATCGAAATCACGTCTTCGCTTGGGCACCGCGCGCATCGTCTCAGGGCGTTTGTCACCTGTGCTGTGTGGATGGATAGCGACTCCCCCGACTCTGGATCCGCCGTACTTTGATTGATCTTCCGACTTACAAGTGTATCGGAAATGCAACCCACACGATGCGAAAGAACAGGGCGGAAACTACTGCATCAAAAACGTGAGACTGCAATTTCCGCAAAGTATGGCAGGAACAGCGACGGCAAAGTAGGGCGGACATCCACATCAAATGAGCTTGAAACGTAAGGCGGAAATGTCCCCCCCAATTGCGGAAGCGCTCAAGGTAGGGCGGATCCAGAGTCAGGGCCCCTTCTCGACGTCAACGTGCTTCGCGCCACTCTAGCAGAAGAAGAAGCAGAAGAAGAAGAAGAAGCAATAACAACATAACAACGGCATAAACATCAACTTTTGGCGCTCCGCGCGGGTTTCTTGGATCTGCGCTCTCGGAGGACCTCCGCTCCGTGCGCGGGGAGCGCTCCAGTGGCGGCTCCTCGTAGGCGCCGCGGGTGCCCCAGCGCCGATCCATAAATCCGCGCGGCGCGCCTAAAAGTTTTATGCTTATGGCCCTTCTCTACTTTGCGATCTTGGTCCTTCCAAGTTCCTGTAGGCAGGAGCAGTCGGGGTTTCTTAGCCTCTTCGGGGCAGCCCGGCGCCCCCATCCTTGGGCGGGGCCGAGGGAGCCATCGCCGTTCCAGCAGGCCCCCAGCTTCTTGGACGTGCAGGCAGGGCCCGCGGCACGTGGATGGACCAAATCCTGCGCCACACTGGCTCGCGCTAGCTGAGTGGGGCGTCGCAAACTTCAAACGACGAGATACCGGCCTCTCCTCCTCCTCCTCCTCCTCCTCCTCCTCCTCCTCGCCTCCTCCCCTCCTCCCCCCCCCCTCCTCCTCGAGCCTCCTCCTCCCTTCCTCGCTCCTCCTCCTCCTCAATCCTCTTCCCCTGTCCCTTCTCCTTCTGTCCTCCTTCTCCCTTCTCTCCTCCTTCCTCATCCTGCCACACCTTTACCTCCTCCCTTCCTCCTCCTCCTCCTCCTCCTCCTCCTCCTCCTCCTCCTCCTCCTCCACTGCCTCCCTCCCTCCTCCTCCTCCTCCTCCTCCTCCTCCCTACCTCCCCTCCTCCACTCCTCCTCCGCCTCCTCCTCCCTTCCTCCTCCTCTCGCTCCCTCCTCCTCCTTACCCCTCCTCCTCGCTCCTCCTCCTCCTGCTCCCCTCTCCTCCTCCTCCTCCTCCTCTCCCTCCGCCTCCTCCTCCTCCTTTCCCCCTCCTCCTCCTCCTTCCTCCTCCTCCTGATCCTCCTCCTCCTCCTCCTCCTTCCCCTACTTCATCTCCTTCTTTCTCCCCTCCTCCTCCTTCCTCCACCTTTAAACCCTATTAACCCTCCTCCTCCGCCTCTCATCTCTCCTCCTTTCCCCCTCTCCTCCTCCTCCTCCTCCTCCTCCTCCTCCTCCTCCTCCTCCTCCTCCCGATTCAACGTTGGTTATCATCGCTAGCGGGGCGCAGGATTTCGGCCAGTCGACAGATCGACACATCGCGGCGCAGCCCGCCAATATCAAAGAGGGGGCGTGGGGGGTGTTCACAATAATCAGCATAAAAAGGTACAGGATTGTGTCCATCTATCGAGCCCCCACCTTTCTGGCGGGTGCTCGCCACAGTAAGCATGAGCTTGACTTTTTCGTGGGGCTTCTCATCACCGCGTCGGGCGCATGCGGATCCAAAATTCCGCCCAGCGCATAGAGACGTACGAAGCCCGCACGTTGCTGCGCTTCTCGGCGACGAGCCCGGGGGGGAGGTGAGGGGGCAGGCCTTCTCAGAAGGCGGCGGGGCCTCTGAGAGTCTCAAGGCCCTCCCCGAAGCCACGGGTGGCTCCTTCGAAGCTTGGAGGGCCTCTGAGAGGCCCCGCCGCCCTCCGAGAAGGCCTGCCCCCTCTCACCTCCCCCTCCCGGGCTCGCCGCCGAGCTGCGGCAGTTGCTGCCGAGGGGGGCCTTTGGGTCCGCGCTCGCGCGCGCGCTGGCGCGAGGCACGCACAGCGCGAGGGGCGCGATCGGCCCGCGCCCATCGCGAGCCCGGGCGGCCGCGGCGGCGCGGGGAGGGCGCAGCCCGCCCCCGAGGCCCCGCGCGGCGGCAGGCGGACGGGGTCCTGGGCCGCCGCTGGACGCTGGAGGCCTAGAGCAGGGGCACCAGCGCCAGCACCGAGGGCTGCCTCCGCCAGGGGAGGGCGATCCTGGATGTCGGTGCCGGTGGTCAGATTTCGGCCGCCTTGGACGCCCGAACAGTACCACCATCACCGAGATCGGGATCACCTTCCCTCGGTGGAGGCGCACGTCGCCGATACACTGGTGCTGGTGCCAAGCTCTGGGCCTCCGAGGACGGGGCCGTGGCCGGGGTCGGGTCGAGGAGCGCCCCAAAAAGTTGGGTGTCTTGAAATGCTGCGCCCGGCAGCACCCAGCGGGGGGTCGAAGTCAGCGGCCCCGGCCGGCCAAAAAACGAGCGCCTGGGTCGGGGGGGCTGTCCGCCGGGTGCCGCGTCGCAGGCGCAGTTGCGCCCCCGGCGCTCTGGGGCGCGGGGGGACCAGCGGCGCGCGAAAGCGAATGTACAGCATCCCTGGTCCTGGGATGGCGGCTGTAGATGGCAAGCCACAGAAGAAGACACGAGCACAATGAGCATAAAACTCTTGGCGCTCCGCGCGGATTTTTCTTTTGGATCTGCGCTGCTGGGCCCCCGGGGTGGCCCCCCCCACACGGCTGCTTGCCCCCCCCCCCCCCCCTGGCGGCGGAGCGCGCCAGGGGCGGCGCCGGAGGCGCCGCCCGGGAGCCCAGCGCGGATCCAAGAAATCCGCGCGGAGCGCCAAAAGCATATGTATATGCCGCTCTTGTCTTCTTCGAAGCCAGGCCTGCGGCGAGGAGCGACGCGTCGGCAGAGCGGTCATGGAACCACTGGCTGGCGGTCCACGGCGAGCGGCGAGGGTCAAAACTGCAGGCTATCACTAAGCACGACGTCTTCTCTTTCTCTCTTCTCTCCAGCCGAGGCGGTGCGTCCTCTCCGACCCTCCCTCATCCCCCCCTTGCTCCTGCTCCTCTTCCTCTCCCTTCCCTCCTTCCTCCCCTTCTCCCTCCTCCCTCCCCTCCTCCTGCCCTTCCTCCTCCTCCTCCTCCTCCGCCTCCTCCTCCTACCCTCCTCCTCCCCTCCTCCTCTCCTCCTCCCTCCTCCTCTCCTCCTCCTCCTCTTCCTCCTCTCACTCACTCCTCCTCCTCCTCCTCCTCCTCCTCCTCCTCCTCCTCTCCGACTCTCCCTTCTCCCCTTTTTGCTCGGCCTCCGCTCCGCCCCCGCGTGTTGGACAGTCCCCGCCAGAGACGGCGACACTGCCCGGGATCAGCGCACGGCACGACGCCTCGCAGGGCGCCCCAGCGGGGGCCCCGCGGCGAAGGTGCCGCCGCCGCGCGGGGCTGCGCAGCTGTGCGAGGGCAAAGTGCGACCTGCGGGGAGAAGGGGAGCGGGGAGGCGGAGCAAAGACCTGCCTCGAGCGCCTCGCGCGGGGGAACGCCCCGCTCCCCCCAAGGACCTCCCAGCCAGCGCGGGCCTCGCGGGGCCCGAGGCGCGGGGCCCCTTCAGTGCGAGTTGGCGCGTGGGCGGCAAGGGGCCCGTGGGCTGTCGAGCTCGGCGTCCTTGAAGTGGATGAAGCCGTGGAGGCTCGGCATCCTCTCGTCTCTGGGGGAGTCCGTCGTCGTCTCCGTCGCGCTGCCCGGCAGCTTCTCGGCGGAGAGGCCGTCCTCGCTGTCGGAGTAGTCGTCGCGCCGCCCGCCGGCGAGCCCCTGGGGCAAGGCGGCGGCGCACCCCGGCACCGGCCCTGGGAGCGTGAGCTGCTGGTGAGCGCCTGGGAGCCAGCCGTCCTCGGCGCCCACCATGGCCACGTGCCCCTCCACGAGCATGGACCCCGCGAAGGGCATCGGCACGTAGCAGATCATCTGCGGCACCCACGGCTGGGCCGCCATGCCTCCGGACCAACTGGCGTCCTGAGGTGCGGCCAGCGCCGCGTCGCTCCCGGGCGTGGGCGCCGCGGAGGCTCCGTCGCTGTCGGGGGCAGTCGTCCGCGCGGCGGGGGTGCCCGCCCCGTCGGGGCCGAGCTCTCCGGGTAGTAGGCTGCCTGGCTCGAGGGCGCCCGCGTCGTGGAAGGCGTAGGGCTGCAGCGCCCACGCGTCTAACTCCTGCGCGGCGCTCAGCAGCTTGAACGGAGGCGTCAAGAAGTCGAGCTGCAGGTTCGCCTGGGTCTGCTCCTCCGTGAGGGGCGCCTTGTAGTTGAACTTCTCCTTGGACGTGGCCCGGCCGCGCTGCTGCGACCTCTTGTGCCAGAAGGCGCACAGCGTCCCGCGCGGGCAGGTGGCGGGAGGGTCCTGGCACGCGACCGTCTTGAAGTAGGCAGGGTGGTAAAGCTGCTCCTTGGCGCCGTGGGAGTAGGGGCACCGCACGCCCAGCGGGCACCGCTGCGAGTACTCGAGCGACGTCTCCTGGCGCTTCCAGTACGGGCAGGGGCGCGGTCCGTAGCCGATGCTGGGGTGCCGGCGCGCGTCCTGGTAGTTGTGCGCGTACACGCAATTCTGCCAGTCGTGCTGCACCCCCACTGGGCACCAGTGGGTCTTGAACCTGTACACGAAGAAGTCGCTCGTCAACGCCTCTGGCCTCTGGGGAAACCAAATGGTACTGATACACCGCTACTCCCCGGACCTCTCCTGGCGTGCGTTCTGAGTAGCAAGTCGAGGCGAATCCCGCCGTGGATGCAGAAAAAGGCAAAAACGAGGTCGGGGCAGCAGCATATCGCTGCCTTCTCCTCCCCCGGAGCCTCTGCTCTTCTTCGCCGACCGAGAGCAGCGGCACTCGGATCTCCTCGCGGCTGTGGGCGAAGGCGCAGGACTCGCCCCGGCGGCAGTCGGCGATGTTTTCGGTGGCAACTCACGGGAGCCTCTCATACCATATCGCTCCTGCGAATCGACGCTAAATCGACGCTAATCGGCGCTGCTTGGCGCTAGACGACGCGAAATCGGCGCTATCTCATCGACTCCCAGGCGCTAATCGACGCCAGTCGACGCTAATCGACGCTCCCATGATTTGCTACCGAAGATGTTGGGGTACGAGGCGCAGAAGCGGTGCCTGTAGACCCCGTGGCAGGGCAGCGCCGCTGGCCCGCCGCGAGCGGCGCCGAGCAGGACGTGGCCGTGCTCGTCCGGGGCGAGCGCTGTCGGGACGAAGGGGGCGGGAACGTCGAGCGGCCAGTGGCCCTTCGGTGTGATCTTGGGGATGTCGCCGACGAGGGTCCGGTAGGAGTACCGCGAGGGCGCCCGGACGCGCAGCTCGGCCTCCCGGTGCGCGAAGCAGCACACGTCCTCGCCGCGGCAGTCCGCGTCGTTGCAGAGCTTGGTCTTGTACTTCGCGGCGTGGTAGGAGATCTCCTCGCGCGTGTGCGCGAACGGGCACGCGTCCCCGCTGGGGCAGTGCCCACGCTCCGCCAAGAAGCCGCACATGACGTCCCAGTACCGCACCTGCCGAGGGGCATCGATAGGGGGGGATAGGCATAGGGGGGAGACATCGACCTGGAATCGGCTAGCGGGCCCCTATCGGCGCTCAATGAGCGACAGGGGGTCGATGCATCCCCCTTTTATGCCGATCTAGAATAAGAAAAAACGCCACAACTTAAACTTTTGGCGCTCCGCGCGGATTTCTTGGAAATGGCCTGTGGGGGGGGGGGGGCCCAGCGCGGATCGAAGAAATGCGCGCGGAGCCCCGGAAGTTTTGTCTATGGCATTTCTCCTTCTTTGACTATTGTAATTATTATTCTTATGATTACTATTACTATTACTATTAAAAATAATAATACTAATAGTATGATTATTAGTAGTAGTATTATTAGTAGTATGATGATGATGATGATGGCCTTTTTCGGGCCTAGACCCAGCCTTTTTCGGCTGATGATGATGATGGATGACGGATGATGATGAGGATGATATAATATAATTAGTAGTAGTAGTAGTAGTAGTAGTAGTAGTAGTAGTAGTAGTAGTAGTAGTAGTAGTAGTAGTAGTAGTAGTAGTAGTAGTAGTAGTAGTAGTAGTAGTAGTAAGTAGTAAGTAGTAAGTAGTAGTAAGTAGTAGTAGTAGTAGTAGTAGTAGTAGTAGTAGTAGTAGTAGTAGTAGTAGTAGTAGTAGTAGTAGTAGTAGTAGTAATGCTATTATATTATTATCAATAGTATTGTTATAAGCATTATTATTATTAGTAGTAGTAGAAGTAGTAGTAGCAGTAGTAGTAGTAGTAGTAGTAGTAGTAGTAGTAGTAGTAGTCTACTGTTGTTATTTTTATTGTTATTAGTCGTAGCAGGAGTAGTAGTAGTAGTAGTAGTAGTAGTAGTAGTAGTAGTAGTAGTAGTAGTAGTAGTAGTAGTCGTAGTAGTCGTAGTAATAGTAGTAGTAGTCGTAGTAGTAATAGTAGTAGTATTATGAATGTTATGTGTATTTTTGTTATCGCTCTTGTTATTAATATTGTTATGTTTCTTCTTCTTCTTCAAAGCAAAAACACAATGCAACATCGGAAAAATCACGCTTGGAGCCCCGGACCCCATATTTCTGCGCCATTCTCCGAGCCGGATCGATCTGTGAGGGCCCCGAGGCTCGGAAAATCGAGCAACCACGCCCGCTGCGTGAAGCAGCTGCAGCGCCAGGACCTCTCCGGGTGCAGGCCCATATCCCCCCCTCCCCTGCCGTTGCCCCCGGCCTGCCCCGTGCGCGTGTCCACCAGCGGGCGGCGGCGCGTGGCCTCGGCGTGGAAGCAGAAGCACCGCTGCGAGGAGCGCGGCGCCCTCGGCTCGGAGCAGCAGCCCTGCGCGGCCCGGGGGCACCGCGTGGTGCGGTAGTGGAGGATGTACTGCCGGTGGCCTGCCTTCTCTCCGTCCTGTAGGGGGTGGGCGAGGGACCAGCCCCAACCCCCTCGAGTCATGAACAAATCACGGCGGGCCGCTTCTCGCCACTTTCAGACCCTGGGGGCCCTTGCCAGGCCTCGGGGCCGTCAAACAAGTACTTGGGACGAAAAGTTGGTCCCGGGGAAGGGGTCCGGACATCTGGGCGTCGCGCCATGAGAACAAATCATGACGTCGGGGGTCTGGGTGTAGGTGGGGATGAGGAGGAGGAGGAGGAGGAGGAGGAGGAGGAGGAGGAGGAGGAGGAGCCCGGGGAGAAGTTAGGAGGAGGGGGAGCGTGAGGCGAGGCGTGAGGTGGCGGAGGAGGCGGGAGGAAGGTGGAGGGAGGAGGAGATGAAGCGAGGCAGGAGGCGCGGGCGAAGAGCGGGAGGATGAGGAGGAGGGGTTGGAGCGAGGGAAGCGGGGGGGGGGGGGGTGATGATGATTAAGAAATGCCGGGGGTAGGGGGGCACCGGCTCAGGAGGATAGAGAGGGGCGCCTCTGCCTGGGGTCGGCGATGCACAGCTGATTTGGGTCGGCGATGGGCCCTCGAGATCGGGGATCCTCTGACCCGGGTGAATCCAGACCCGGGTCAGTCAGGCCTTGCAGAATCCTGCAAGATGCTGCGAGATCCTGCACCCAAGCCCAGGTTAACATGAAGGATCCTGCAAGACCCTGTAGGATCCTGCACCCAAGCCCGGGTCAGTGCGACCCTGGCTCTGCAGGATCCTGCAGGATCCGGCGCTCTGGCTGACCCCATCGACCCCCGTCTCCTGAGCCCCGACAGGAGTGAGTCCGCACTCGCCTGGGCGGGGCGGGCTATGGGGCCCCCTATCGGCGATCCAAGGGCAACCAGACCAACTCAGGAGGAGAGAGAGAGAGGCATCCACCTGGCGTCGGCGATGCACCGCCGGCTTTCTCGGCGCTGGGCCCTCGACAGCCTGTCCGCACTCGCCTGGGCGGGGTGGGCCATGGGGCCCTCTTATCGGCGATCCAGGGGCGACCAGGGGGGTCGATGCCCCCGAGGAGGAGGAGGAGGAGGAGGAGGAGGAGGAGGAGGAGGAGGAGGAGAAGGCGGAGGAGGCGGAGGAGGCGGAGGAGGAGGAGGAGGAGGAGGACCCTGCCACTGACGTCCTCAGAGCCCGTCGCTGCTCCTGAGCCTGTCCCCGAACCTTGCCCCTGACGCTTCCCTTCGCGCTGCCCCTCGCGTCCTCCTAATGCCCCCGAGATCCGACGTTGCAAACAGAAATGCGACATCGGAAAAATCACGCCCGGACCCCTGGTCCCCATCTTTCTGTGTCACTCTTCGGGCCAGATCCATCTGGGAGGATACCAGGACCCGACCTCGAGAGAACACGCCCGTGGTGAAACACTTGCCACGCCAGGATATCAGGGAGTGTTGCCCCTGACGCTGCTCCTGGGCGCATCCCCCCCCTGTGGCGTTAGGTCGGGCGTGTCCTCCTACAGGCGGATTCTGGACGAAATACAAGGAAAACAAGAAAAACAAGAAATCGTTCCCATACGATTTTTTACTATACTCCTCCTGTAGAGGGACACGCCCGACCTAACTTTGGCGTTACCCCTGGGCGTCCTCCCGCCAGGCGGGCAGCCGCTCCTGCGCCGGGGCCACGGCTGGAAGGAAGGCGCCTCCCGGGCTGCCCGAGGCCTCGGCGGCAGCCATCGGCCGGTCCTCCAGCGCCGCAGGGCGGCAGGCGACCCCGCGGGCGCCCCTCCGCCGCGCGTGCCTGGACTCCTCGAGCAACGGGTGAGCACGGAGGTGCGCTCCGGCTTCCCAGACCCCCCAGGGTGGACAAAAATCACGACGGGAGGTGCTTCGCGATCTTCGGCCTTCGGGTCCCTTGCGATGCCGGGCCCCAGGGCCGTCAAGAACGACTCAGGATGCAAAACCAGTCCTGGGGCAAGGGGTCCAGACCTCTGGGGGTCGACGTTGTGAAAAATTCACGACGTCGGGGGTCAGGGTTGTGACGAGAGGGCTCAGGGGCAGAAGGCACAGTGCGGCAGCGGTGATGCGGGCCGTATGTGTCCCTGGTCCTTGTGGCGCTCGATTTTCCCATCTTGGCTCCTCCCCGCCCCCTCTCTTCCTTGCCCCAGCTGCTGCTCCTCAGCGGGGCTCTCGCCTCAACGCTGGTCCCATTCGTCTTGAAAACTGGTGGCAGCTCCAAGGGTTCAGGACAACTCCTTTTCAATGTTAACCAGCGTGGATCCCCAAACAGTGAGTCATCGCACGCTGGAAGTGAACGCTGTGCAGTGTAAGCTATGTGATGTCACACACAGATTGTAAACTATGTGGCGTGAGCAATAGAAGCGAAGAGTAAGCGGTGTAATCTACATGGTGGAATCTATGTCGCATGTGAGGCGCGAGCTGGAGGTGAACGCTGCGCGGTGAAGACTGTGTGGTGTAGGATGTGCGGTGTAAGCTGGGCGGTGGAGTTCATGTCGTGCAAATGATATGGTGCTGTTGAAAGAACAATGTTTGCACCATTTCGGGTTGAGCTGCGAATCGGATGGCACTGCTGCTCCCCCGCGCCTCCGATTTTAATATTGATAGTTGTGACATCTCCCGGGGCCCTTCGAAAAAAGAAAGATGCATCCCATTTCAGCGTGCGCGTCCGCTCTCGATGTTAAAGTCGGGGGCGGGGGGGTCGCATCATCAATTGTCGTGCCGCCCAGGTGGTGCAAACTTGTTTCTCTCAACCGTGTAATCGCTGTGGTTTGAGCTCAGCGCACGTGGCGCCCACGAGGCGGTACGGGCGGCGACGTGGCGCGACCTCGGCGGACCCCCACACAGCGCACGGGGCGCCCGCGAGCGCCCACGAGGCAGCACGGGACGGCAGCGTGGAGAATCCTGGGCGGCCCCGCCCAACCACTTGAGGAACGGAAGTGAGGAGCCCTAAGGTCAACGTTTTCTTATTCGGCGTTTCGACATTGGGCGGAGGGGGGGGGAGGAGAAGGAGGGGTCTGGCTCTGGACGTCTGCTTAGTGCCACTGCTTGGGGGGGGAGGGGGGGGTGCGAGGGCCCGTGCCGATCGGCAAAACAATGAATAAAAACGATCACACATGCAAACGCTGTTTGGGAAGCATTTGTCTCTAGCCCGAGTGCCGCGCACACATTTGCATCAAGAGTTTGCAGCAGTTACAAGATGTTACAAGGGTGTGGTGCGGCTCCGTTTCAAGGTGGGGCTTTCGTGTGCGGCGCATCTGTGAAGGTGAAGACCAGCAACTTGAACACATATAGCAGCTGCGAATGGCATCTCCTGTTCCAACATTGGCTTTCGTTTCAGACTTTGTAATGTGACGGCCGGGAATTTGAGCGTATGGTACACCTGCGCGGGTGGAAATCGGTTTCTTTTTCAAAATGGGGCTCTCCTGATGACCAGAAGAGCAAGCTTGTGGAGGCTTTACCACAACATGGGGGCTGACCTTGTCAAAATGGGGACCTCGCTGGACACCTCGTCGAACTGTCCGGCCACACCTCTGCGCACTCTTTGTGGCCCGCTGGAGGGATGTGAAGCAGGTCTGTCTCAAGCGCCCGAATGACTGGCCCATGGGGTCTTTCAAAGGGGCGCCTCGTGAAGTGGGCAGGAAGGCTTGTAGGGACGGGTCGGGGGACGGGAGAATGTGTTGCAGCATCGCTGATGCACCTTGGGCTTACTCTAGTCCTCCATATCTTCTCCTTGTGAATAGCTCCTCCCTGTCGCACGCCGACGCGTGTCAGTAAGGCAGGCTGGGCGTTTAGCCTAAGACGTCCGCAACACTTGTGACCCTCAACCTTGAAATTTGCCACAGCTTCACGGATGGAGGGCGAGCCGCTTTCAACATGAGGATCTCGCTTTAGCGCCCCACACATTCGCTTTCAAACTTTGCAAAAGTTCACGTATTGAAAGCGGGTGGTTTTCAAATTGTGGTTCTCGCCTTGGCGATGCGCGCGCTCGTCTTAAACATTTGCGAGGGTTACGTGGATGCTGGACGCAGGCTCTCGCCTTAGCGCCACGCACATTGATTTCAAAGATTTGCCACGGATTGCGGGCGGGTGGTTTTTCAAGATGTGGCTCTCGCCTTAGTGACGGCCGCACTCGTCTTAAACAGTTTCCAGAAAGCTTCGCGGGTGGACGGCAGTACCTTCTCAAAATGCGGCTCTCGCCTTGGCGCCGCGCACACTCATTTCAAACATTTCCAAGAATGTAAGGACTGGGGGCGGGTGGTTTTCAAGAGGTGGCCCTCGCCTTAGCGACTTGCGCATCATTCGTCTTAAAACATTTCCAGGAAGTGTCGCGAGTGGAGGGGAGTACCCTCTCAAAATGCGACTCTCGCTTTAGCGCTGCGCACATTCATTTCAAACATTGGCAAGGGCGTAAGGATTCTCAAAATTAACGTCCCAGAAATAATGGTTTGGAATGCTGTAGGATTGTCAGGGCGCAACAGTTACGTGAATTCGCTGTGTTGAAATCCCAGGAATGGTGTTCTGGCATGATTCAGGGACGCAGCAGTATTGCTGATTCGTGGCGTTGGGATCCCATGGATGGTGCTCTGGCACGGCTCGGGATTTTCAAACGGTTGTCTTCCAACGGGGCACTTCCCTCAATGGACAGGAATCCTTCTAGGGGCCTATTAAGCGGGAAATTGGAGGGAGTGTCATTGACTCATCGTGGATGATTGGGTTTACAATGGTCCTCCTCCTCCTCCTTATCCTCCTCCTTCCCCTCCCCGTCTTCGTCGTCATTCTCCCCTTTCTTGCTTGCCAACTCTCCCCACGCAAAAGCAAATCGTTCCTGAAAAGAAACGGGTAGGGTAGCCCCTCATGCTCAGTCCGAATCAACAAACACTGCGATGTTCGCGGGGCCCGCTGGAGGAAACAAATAATGTTGCATCAGGGACGATTCTTCAAATTGCGATGCGCGCTGAATATCCGTCCCCGCAACACACACACACACACACGCATGCACTGACCCGAAGCTCTGTGCACCTCGAAGGCCTTCCACAACGCTGGCCCACCTCAAGAAAGCCTGCGACCACAGACACCCGCTGCCGCGTTGCAAACGTATAATATGTTGCAAAACAACTGGCGCCATCCTCCTTTCACACTTCACCCGAGTACGGCCAGAGTTTGGGGCGGGGGCAATGAGGGGAAGCAACACATCAACGCGGTGACAAGTGCGAAGCGGGATGGTCAAAACCGTCCTGCAAGCATACTGCGCATGGTTCCTCTGCGCCACCGCTCTCTCCAGCACCTGGCGGAATAAGTGGGAACCAGAAGCAAAAAGAGAAGATCCCACCCTTAGCGGCAAAGCACCCTCGAAAGCGCTCTGCAATACCACAGGAAGCACCCATAAAGAGTTCAACTGAGGGTGACAAATACGAAAGCAAGTACTACCGCGAAGGCTGAAGAACGAGAGCCCCATGCGGGAGACCATGCGGGAAACCACACACCATACGGAAGCCATGCGGGAAATACCAGGTATCATACGGGATACCGTGCGGATAACAATAGGGGAGACCGTGCGGGAGACCAGATCGAAGACCGTACGGGAGACCATGCTGCGGGAGACCATACTGCGGGAGACCATGCGGGAAGCCATGCGGGAAAACATGCGAGAGACCATGCGGGAGACAACCTCTGCGTGGATGCCTGGGGAGTGACGCGCCACCGGACGCTGGACCTCCCAAGCAGGGACGTAGCACGAGAGCGTGAGACGGACAGACAAACACACACAGACACACGCGCACACACACGCACACACACACGCACACACACACACACACACGCACACACACACAACAAACACACACACGACACACACAAACCTCCCCCCCCACCCCCCACACACACACAAACACACACACACACATACACATATACACACACACACGCACACACACACACACACACACGCCCCCCCCCACCACACACACATACACACATGCACACACGCACACACACACATACATACACATACACACACGCACACACACAAACACACACGCGCGCACACAAACACACGCACTCACACACAGATACACACAATACACACACACACACACTTGTTGGCGTCGCGGCCACGCGCGCAGCGGCGCGGCGTAGACAGTCAGGCACAACACACACACACACACACACTTTGACTCGAGACGAGCCAGCAGAACTGATCAGAGGCAAGAGCAGCGAGGGGCGGGGGGCGGGACGCGCGCAGCGGCGCGGCGTAGACAGTCAGGCGACTCGAGACGAGCCAGCAGAACTGATCAGAGGCAAGAGCAGCGAGGGGCGGGGGGCGGGAATGGCAGCGGCAATAATGCTTGGGCACCGTAGGCATCGAGCAACTCCCGCCGAATAACGTCGTCGACGCCGCTGCTGGGGCTAACGGTGGCGGCCAGAAGCAGCTCCTCGTGCTGTCGGCCGGCTTCCACACCGGGCTGCCTTTCCCTCTGAACGATCGACGTTTTGTCCATGCCCCTGCTCACGCCACAACCTCAAGGGGGGCCAGCCGGTGGGGTGCATAGCAAAATGCTGCCTCTCGAGCCATGTCCTTTCATCCGTGCTTGACTCCGTTGGCGTCCAGAAGTGGATGCAGCAACAGGGGTATCGAACAGCACGGATAAAGCGTCGATCACCAGACCTCTGCCCCTCGCCTCCACATCCTTCCGTCGTCCTCCCCTCTCGGTCGGCTGGCCCCCTGCCCGTCGTTCCCCTCGGGACCGCTCGTGTGCTTCATGTGGGGGGGAGGAAGAGGAGGAGGAGGAGGAGGAGGAGGAGGAGGAGGAGGAGGAGGAGGAGGAGGAAGAGGAAAAGGAGGGGTCCGTAGCCATTTTGGCTCAAGTCCGGAGGCATTGCTCAAGTGGACTGAGTTATTTTGGCAAGGGGATTCGCGGCCCCAACAGCTTTCAACGGTCTCAAGGAGTCCGCGTACCGTATTTTTCATCCCTCGCGGCTGCGGGCCTCTCGCACTCAAGTTTGCGTACAATGGATGGCTTCTCTTGATGGACCTGCCCCAGCAAGCGTTGTGGTTACCGAGGCAATTTTGCATGGCGCACTGCTTGCCGCATCTGTGGACACGCCCCCAAGGGTCCCTCCCCAGGCGGCAACGGACGCGCTGCACCCGTTCAAGGAGTCTGGCGCAAGGGCCCACCGCCCAGCGCGCCAAAGCAGCCGCAGCAGGCTGCACTCACGGAGGAGCTCGTCGCCGTCTACGCGCGCATGCCCGAGGCCGACTTCAAGCAGCTCTCCGAGGGCTGGCCTGCCAAGCAGATCAACTGCGTGGCGGCCAAGCGTGCCCTTGACGCTGGTGCCCCCACCTCCACGGCCAAGGCTGCGCGTCAGGCCACGGACTCGCTCCGACAGCAGGTCGAGTAAGCCCAGTCGCGCTTCGACCGAGCTCAGGACGCCGCAGTCAAGGCCATGCAGCCCATGGCGAAGTGTCGTGACCAGCTCGAGGATCTCAAGAAGCAGGCAGCCGCCGCCGCCGCCAAGGCCGCAGAGGCCTACAGCGCCATGGCTGGCGTGTCCCAGGTGCCCGTCCCTGACCAGCTGGCGCAGTTGGAGGCGATGGCGGCATCCCTGGACACCGCCGTGCCAGACGAGGCGAAGCAGCTCCGTGAGCTCGCGGAGTCCATCCGCGCCAAGCTCCCCCCGCCGCCTGCCCAGGCCACTGGGGAGCCAGGCGCGGATGCGGCGCCCGCGGAGGCCACGGGGCAGCAACCAGCGGGGCGGGCCGCCGCGGGTGCTGCACCTGCTCAAGCTGCTTCTCCTCAGCCTCCTGACTGGTCTATCTTCACGGATCCCAACAACCAGTTTTACAATGAGTTCTGCGCTGCCCAGGACATGCCCGTCGATGAGGGCGGCGCCGACGACAGCGGTGACAGTGCCCGGCGCAAAGCAGAACACATTTCCTTGTCTACCTTCAACGAGCTCATGCGGCACATGCAAGAGCACCAAGCCAAGCGGGCTCGCACTGAAGGATCGTCGCTTTAGCTACAGATCGTGGGACTTCGTCACGGCCAATGTCACGGGCAGGCTAGGTCTCGAATGTCTTCTCGAATCGCGACCAGTGCTTGAATCTATCGCAGTGTGCGTCCAGGAACACCACCTGGCGCAAGTGGAAGCATGGGAAGCCCGACTTCGCGTGCTAGGATGGGCAGCTAAGGGGCTGCCAGCAGCCGTCACGGCTCGAGGCGGCACTACGGGAGGTCTACTTCAGATGGTGCACAGGCGTATTGGCATGGCAGAGCTCCCTGATCCAGAGTTTTGCATCGAGAAGGCTAGAGTCGGCATTTTGCATCTCTCGGCCGTCTGCCCAGGAGGTGTGCTCTGGGTCAACGTGTACCTCCACGACTCGCAGGGCGTGTCGCAGTTGAATTGGCAGCTCCTCACGCGCATCGGCGGCATTCTCTATCGCTACGGGCTGCCCTTCGTGGTCACGGGCGACTGGAACATCACCCCCCAGGAGCTGCAGGGCACGGGCTGGACTGAGTCGCTCCAGGCTAAGGTGCTCGCGCCCGTCGTTCCCACCTGCACCAGAGGTGGGACGCCACGGGTCTTGGACTTCTACGTGGTCTCGCATGGCCTGCACTACCACGCTGTCATCAGTGTCCTCAACGGCGTGGGCACGCAGGACCACAAGCCAGTCAAGCTCACGCTGCAGGGCTTGAAGCAGACCCCGCAGCTCCCGCACGTCAGAGTGCCCAGGCAGTTCCCGCGAGAATTGCCAGCAGGTTGCTATCCGCCCAGCCAGCGCTGGGACCCCGTGCTGGCTCTCTTTCATCAGCAGCCTGACGTCGAGGCTGCATGGAGACAGTTCGTCACGGTCATGGAGCAAGAGTTTTCCGAGATCTACCAGATCCCCGACGACGAGGCCGAGCGCTACGTGGGCCGTAGTGAGCCGCTGTCAGTGCAGAGCAGGCGCGCGCCTGTGCCTCGCTCCCCCCTGTTCCCCCGCACATCGGCCCTTGCCGTCTGGTTCCGAGGGCTGGTACAGATCTTGGGCGATCTTGCTAAGTTTCAGACGGCTGATGACAGGGCTGCCACGCTCGCGGCAGCGCGACAGCAGGCCACAGCCTCGAATCGGTTTCCTACTCGACACGTCGGCGCATGGCGCGCCCTACTGCACGGTGCCAGGTACATCGACTGGTCGCTTGCATCTGTCTTGTGCGCAGAGGCCCGCGACCTGGCCACTACTCTGCAGCGCGACGCCGAGCGCAAGCGGGACCAAGAATGGAAGACTTGAGCCCGCAAGCACAGCGACGCTGGAGGCGGCGCCCTGTTCGCGGTCAGCAAGCCCCCGACGCCCTGGCATGCCAGCCCCTCCTTCAGCGCTGCTGGCGAGGCTAGACCTGCCCCAGCCTCTCTGCAGCAAGAGATGCAACTTTTAGTGGAGGAGTGGAATTCGTTCTGGAGGGTGGGGGAGGAGGAGACCCCGCTTGATTGGCCAGCCGACATGGGGCCGCCACTGCCAGACTTTTCGGTAGACGACCTCCGTGCCTGCCTGGAGACGTTCAAGGCGTCATCCGGCACGGGATTCGATCAGATCAGACCTCGCCAGCTCCTCGACCTCTGTGATGACGGCATCGCCTCCCTCCGCCTCCCCATCCTCCTCATCGAGAGCAAGCTGGCCTGGCCCAGCTGCTGGGGCAAAATCGTGTTTTTAACCAAGCGCACGGGTGGGCTGCGGCCCATCGCACTGCTGCACGTGCTAGCGCGCGTGCAGGCACGTCTTCGCAGGCCCCTACTTCTGAAGTGGCAGCAGAGTAACTTTCGGAGTTTCTGGTGGTCTACGTCGGGGAGGGGGTCGGAGCGGCTCGCGTGGGTCCAGGCTGCCTCTTCGGAATGGGCTGTCAGCCAAAAGTTGTGTGCAGGCACCGTCCTGCTCGATCTTCGCAAAGCCTTTGAGAGTGTCAGACACGATGTACTGCTAGACGCCGCTCGGAAGACTGGCTTTCCCCTGAGGCAGCTTCGGCTGCTCGTCGACTTATATCGTTCGCCACGTGTGCTCGAGTATTCTGGCGTCAGCTCGCAGCCCATCGTCACCCAGCAGGCTGTGCTTGCTGGCTGCCTGTTTGCCACGCTTTGCCTGCAGATGGTGCTTCTCTGTCCGCTCGACACCGTCCAGGCAGCCTTCGTTCCGTGTACCCGTCAGGAAGTATAGTTAGGAGTTGTTGTAGACGATTTTGGGCTTCACAAGGTTGGCTCACATCAATCAGTCAAGAGTGAGTTAGCCAGCGCTACCATCATGCTGCATCATGAGTTAGAGAAGATTCACCTGCCAGTCCACAGGCAGAAGAGTAGAGTTCTCGCGTCCACCCCCAGCCTCAGGCATGAGCTCGCCGTGGTTCTCAGCTCTCGTCGGGTTCTTGCTGTTCAGTCTGAACGCAACTTGGGGGTGGACTACGCGGCTGGCGGGGTCATCAAGCGATCCACCAAGCGCGGTCGCAGGGTCGCCGCCGCCGCTCGACAACGCAGGATCGTTTCCATTGCCAGCAAGCTACGCAAGCGCGTAGCACATCACATGGTCCGAGCTGCCGTGCAGGCCTCCACCGCATACGGGTCGGGGGTGACGGGCAGTTCGGAGACCGAGCTTCGACCGGCGAGATTTTTGCAGGCCAGCGCCCAATGTCAGCGCCTGCACGGGTGCAGCCTCACCCTACTCTTACAGATGCTCGGGGTTCGGCAACTCGACCCCGCGTACGCTTTGAATATAACGCCCCTCCTCCACCTCGCTACCGCGGTCTGGGAGTCCTGGGGTCCGCGGGGCGTCGTCGTGGCTGGCCTCCAAGGGGCCTGCCGCGTCCTGGAAGGGCACGCCTCGCCCTGGAAAGCCATCCGTGGACCTCTCTCCGCGTGTGTGGCTACGGCCAAGAGGCTGGGCATCAACATCGACGGCCTGCGATGGTACCATCCTGTCGTCGGCTATTTTTCGTTGACGGAGCTGTGTCCTCGCACGATCGTGCTCGCGCTGACGCGCGTCGTGGACGCTTGGTGTTGGCACAGAGTAGCCGAGCATCTCGACCAGCCTGCCTTTCAGCGCGGGCCTTTCCTGGCCCCACTTTTCTCGGGCATGCGAGCGCTCACTGCCCAAGAAAAAGCTTACATCGTCTCCGTCGTCTCGGGAGGTCAGTGGCCGCAGGCGCGGCAAGCGGAGTGCAGGCTCTCCGATTCGGCCGTTTGTCAGGTTTGCCTCGATTCTCCTGGCACTCTCTTGCACAGGCACCTCGCGTGCCCTGGTCACGAGCAAGTCTTCGGTCTCGAAACCCCGCCCGTGGCCGCCTCCCTCCTCCGTGCCAGCGACAGCCCTCCCGTCCGCCTCCTCGCCGGGAGGCTGCTGGTGCCGCTGCCTGCCCCTCCTCCCCCCTCGCCTCCTCCCCCCGCGGAGGTCTGGGTGAAAGGAAACCCCAGCATG